CAGCCAAGGTATCTAAAACTCAACGAGTTCACTTGAAAGTTTCCGCAAAGCCCAATGAAAGTGAATTTTCGTTTTCGTTTGTCGCTTTCGTTAAGCACAACATATATATAGGACCCGATGTTATAAACGTTTCCGAATTGCAGGTCAAATACCCGCAACTAGCCCCGTTAAAGACGACTGCGTATAATTACAAAGAGATTGAGATAGTTATAGGACAGGACTTCTATCATGCGATAAGACCCCTCGAACATGTCTTCGGAGATGAACTTGACTCACTGTGCGCCGTCCGACTTCCGATAGGTTGGGTCATTAGTGGTCCGTCTCCTGATCATTCGTCCTTAAATTCTTCTTCCTTTAACTGCGTTACGGACGATATTTCTCTGACCGACCAAATCAAAACTTGGTATGAGTTAGAGTCGTATGGTGCGTTCAAGCAAGTAGATGCCCGTTCCGCCGCAGACAAGCGTGCTTTGTCGATCCTAAAAACTGAAACCGTTCACGATGGTGAGCGTTACACTGTACCGATGCTGTGGAGTGATAATGATGTTAGCTTGCCTAACAATTATTATTCTTCATTAGCCCAATTAAAGTCGTTAGAGAAAAGGTTAGATAGAGATCCGTTACTTCGCGAGAAGTATACCGAAACAATCAGAGAAGATATAAGTAAAGGATATGTCATAACCGTCAACCCGCACGATCCCAGCTCACGAGCCGAACGTGAGTGGTATCTTCCACACCATCCGGTTTTGAACCCGAACAAACCCGGCAAGGTGCGCCGTGTGCTCAATGGAGCATCCAAATTTCATGGCACTTCCTTAAATAGATCTCTCTTGGTTGGCCCGGATCTCCTTCAAAATCTTATTTTGTACTGTTGAGGTTCCGTCAACACAAGTACTCCGTCTCAGCGGACATAGAAGGTATGTTCTTACAAGTTGGAGTACTTGCGCGAGATCAACCGTCTCTCCGTTTTTTGTGGCGGGAGGACCCCACTTCAAGTGTGGTGGTTCACCAATACACCCGTCATATTTTTGGCGCTCGTGATTCGCCAACTTGTGCGAATTTCGCGCTACAAAAAACTGCTTCTGATAATCAAGCTGAATACCCCGAAGCCGCTTCAGCCGTTGTCCAGAAGTTTTACATGGACGACTATCTTGACTCGTTCGAAAATACCGCTGACGCCCTTAGCCTAAGTAAAGACTTAGTCACAATGCTCAAATTAGGTGGGTTTAACCTGACAAAGTTTGTTAGCAATGTACCCGAAGTTACAACCGCTCTTAATCCGGACAACCGTGAGTCCAACCCGTCAGTTAAGGATATTTGTAAGAGTCCAGACCAATCGTCGCATGTTCTTGGTCTCAGGTGGGATCATGTAAAAGATACCCTAGTAGTAAGTAGAGGTGTTGATCGACCACTAGATAAAGCAATTACTCAACGCACCGTGTTGAGTTTTGTTTCCTCAGTTTTTGATCCAATAGGACTGGTAGCTCCATATACTGTGAAAGCGCGCCTTTTACTAAAAGACATATGGAGAATCAGTGGTCAAAAGTGGGATGATGATCTCCCAGAGGAAATTAAACAACAATTTCTAGATTGGCACTTAGGACTTCCACTATTAGGTACTCTGACGATACCTCGTAGCTACTTTACCGAACCGTTCGACCGCTGTGAACTTCACACGTTCGGTGATAGTTCGCAGGACGTTTTTTGCGCCGTATCGTTTCTCCGAGCCCGACTTGCTAAATCGCAAAAGACCGAGTTAGCTTTTGTATTTGGGAAAGCCCGTGTAGCGCCTATGAAGATGCTCTCCATTCCCAAGTTAGAGCTTCAGGCTGCTCTGCTTGCGACTCGACTCAAAGAAGAGATTTTGAAAGCGCTTACTTTCAAAGTAAGCAATGTATTCATGTGGACTGATTCTACCACCGTTCTCCAGTGGCTTAACTCGTGCAACAAACTTCCTGTGTTTGTTGGAAACCGCACTGGTGAAATCTTGGAGTCCACCACCATTGATCAATGGAATCATGTACTCAGTGGTGATAACCCAGCTGATACCGGCACACGAGGGATTTCTTCGAAAGCCCTCAAGGATAGCAGCTGGGTTAGAGGCCCTAGTATATTGAGGACATGTGATTGGCCATTCAAGCCGAACACTGATGTCATCAAAAAGATCCAATTAAAAGGCCCACTCTGTGACATTGATACATGCCTTGAGACTGCATCTACGTTTGTTGTTGATGCTTCATCTGAGAAAGCGCCGTCAATCCGTCTGTTTAAAAATTGGGATAAATTCAGCTCAATTGTAAAGTACAAACGTGTTTTAGCATTTATGCTTCGTGTGCTACCATCGCATAAACACTTCCGTACAAAAACGCTGGAAATAACCGACCCGTCCGAGTTAGATATTGCCGAGCAGAAGCTCATTTATCTCGCTCAGTCCGAATCATTTCCTGCCGAAGTGAAAATACTTCAGTCCGATAAACGGATAACAAAGAAAAGTCGGATTGCTAAATATTCTCCGTTCATCGGCCCAGCTGGCATCCTGCGTTCAACTGGACGTATCAGCCGTCTTGTTGAGACCGACTTTGATAGCAAACATCCAATAATACTGGATGGTCGACACCGAGTTGCTCATATGTTGATTAGGCATATGCACTTTCAACATGCACATCAGGGGTTGGATTACATGCGTGCTGTAGTTCAGTTGAAATACATTGTTCTGAAGTTGCGCTGGTTACTTGGGAACATCGAAAATACTTGCATAACATGCCGTAAGCGCAAAGCAAAAACAGTTGTGCCCATTATGTCTGACCTACCGATTGAAAGACTGGGTTACAAGCAGCCTCCCTTCTCCAACACAGGTGTTGATTACTTTGGCCCGTTTCAAGTGCCAATACGCCGAAGTACGGAAAAGAGATGGGGTTTCCTATTTACCTGCCTCACGACTCGAGCAGTTCACATCGAGTTGGTTCCATCTCTCGATACTAGTTCCTGCGTCATGGGCGTAGAGCGATTTATTGCAAGGCGAGGTACCCCCAAAACCATTCTTTCTGACAATGGCACGAATTTTGTTGGTGCTCAAAAGGAGCTCCTATCCTGTGTCCAAAATTGGAACAACGTCGCCCCGGCCGTTTTCGTCCACAAAGGCGTTAAGTGGAAGTTTAACCCGCCCACTGCCCCTCATCACGGTGGCGCCTGGGAGCGGCTAGTGAGAAGTGTTAAGCGAGTGTTGTACGACATATTAGGCAGCAGGAGATTAACTGAGGAAGTTCTAGGAACAACGCTCTGCCTAGTTGAACAATTACTTAACGCAAGAACGATCACTCCGGTCAGTTCCGATCCGCACGACCTAGAGGCACTCGCCCCGAATCACTTCATTCTCGGTCACAGCGCAGCTAGCTTCCCGTCGTTAAGTTTCGAAGATAACTTTGATCATAAAAAGCGTTACGCCAGAGCACAATCGTACGCTAACGCAGTTTGGTCACGCTGGCTGCGTGAATATGTACCATCTCTCAACAAGAGAGCAAAGTGGCATAATGATTCGGATGTCACACTGAAAACCGGCGACTTGGTTTGGGTAGTCGAACCCGACAGCCCACGTGGGCATTACCCACTCGCCCGTATTGCTAAACTACACTACGGCAAAGACGGATGCGCGCGATCCGCCGACATAAAGACCGTTACGAGCGAACTGACCCGCCCGACCGTAAAGCTCGCTCCCGTTCTTCCTTGTTTAGGGGTGGAGGATGTTGCAGCGCAAAAATAAAACAATAGTACAAATGCATATAAACGTAAATGTGCGAGAGTATAAATGCATATAAAAGTAAATGCATACAGGGACAGTAGCCAAGCGTATACATGGTGCGTCCCGGCGGGTTCGGCGCCGGTTCGAATCCCGACTAGGTCATTTCCTTTCTAGAACTCGAATGTGCACCGAACCTGATGGGATGCTCCGTAACCAGGTTCGGTCCCCCCCAAAACCGATTTTAACCGTCTTTTCGCTCTAATTTGGTTCAGCCTTGATTAAGGCTGACCTTTAAAAAGAGCAATTTGTCTCAAGGACAAATACTGGCCATTTTTGCAGCTTGCTTTGAGTTATGGAGTTTTTTGTGCCGATGTGACCGATGTTAACAATACAAAAGTTTGGTAAAAATATCATTCTTACCGATAAATTGAGTATTATTGTTACCGAGTTATTTTGCCGATAAAATGCTCGAATTAAATTGTTGAAACCCGATATTTTTACAATCCGTGGAGATTGAGGCGCACAGGTCGGAACTTCCTGTGCTACTTGGAAAGCAGTGGGTTATCCGTGATTTTTTTTAAAGCTCGGTTTGCAATTGAAAGAATAAAATTTTTCATTTAAAAAGTCATTGTGGTTAATATCGAAGTGTTCGAGAGCAACTATGGCTGCTGTGGGCTTCTAGTTAAGTTTAATTGCGAACCAATTTTTGAAATCGCTGCTTTATGGCTTTTTATGCAAAAAAATTTTTTTTCCATCCGAGCAAAAAGGATTGTTTTGCATAACTGCTGATTTTGTCTTGAATCGACATTAGCTACAGACTTTTTTAGATTTTTCCTGCAAGTTGTCATGTTCACTTACAGAAAACCCCGTATGTCTCCCTAAATTTGTCAATAATTTTCACACTCTGTTTCCGACTGTTTCCATTTTTGCAGATCATGTGTGTATTTTTAGAACATTTTGTTATCATGTCGGGAAGCTTTGGCGTTAAGGCAGCACAAACACCTCCTGTTTTGGTTTACTCCCCTCTTCTTAATTTTTTTCAGCCATTTATTTTATTATTTTTAGCAGAATGTATTTTAAAAATACATCCTCTTCAGTGGACTGTTTTATGCTCTGAAATTACCTCTTGAACGCAAAAAAGCACTTATTCAGACAAAAATTAAAATTTCCCCTTTTCCAATTAGAAAAGGAAAAGCATTAAAAATTCATCAATTATATGCACAGATTATCATTTTTCAAATCGTACATTTTTCAGCAGGTCGGATAGAAACCATAGTTGCGCTCTTGCGCAGAAGTATAAAAACCAATTGTTTTATTTTTGACGCAGATGACTTTAAGGCTTATCTTAAGCAGCTTTCATCTGATTGTTTTGTATTTTTCTTTTGGTATAAAATTTGCCCTGTGAGTGATTACGATAAGCCGCACTTTGTTATGCTACTATTACCATTATACTACGAAAAAATAAGACAAAAGTTACTTAATTTTTTTGATCATCTTGTAACAGTAAACTTTTAATCTTATAGTTGTGACGCGTTTTTTTTATATTGAAGATATACAATCGCCGGTCTGCCAATAATTGTAAAAGTTTATAAATTAGTTGCGTTCAGTTGCTTTTTTTGTGAAAAATGAATGTGTATCAAACGCTTCTAGAAGCTCTTCCGGAAAAACATCGAGACATTTCTGTTTATGCTATTTTCACCTTTGGTTTGCTGATTCTGGAGTATGCAATTGAGACCATCGGCTTCAAATTCGCCCGCCGTTTTCTTCCTAAAAAGGAGGTGAAAGAAAACGCAGTCGCGAGCGAGAAAAAAGCACGAAAGGTCGGTGAGAGTCTGTGGCGACTCTGCTTCTATTCTTTCGCTTTGACTTACGGGTACTTTGTGGTCTCCAAACAAGATTTCTATTCTGATGCTTCCAAAATGTGGGGGAGAGTTAGAACTGATTCTTCCGGGAAAGATTTTTGGGACATGCCCCCAATTGGAATCGAACTGCATTTCTATTACTTCATAGAGTTGGCGTTCTACTCGGGCACTACGCTTCAATACGTGACCAGAGCTAGTTCGGCGACTGATTATAAAGATTACTGGGTCATGCTAATTCATCACTCTTCTACTATTGCTTTGATATCTTCTAGTTATTACATCCAGGTACTCTTGATGACCTTTTATGATTTAATTTGATACAATTGAAAATCCGTAAATTGATTGTCGAGATCCAATTGAAACATTTGAACAGTTGGACTATTAGCTTACGAAAAGCATGATTCTTAAAGAACATACGATGAGCATATATTTTTTTGGTTTAGATAAAAAAGGTCGAACAATTTTTTTTTGGCTCAGATAAAAATACAGAATTTGAAAAAGTTATTTTAGTTTCGTTTCGTCGATTCGCTTCACTATTTTGCTGAATTCTTTTTCTCTCATTGAGCCTCAGATGAACTCAAAAATTGATCATTCTGAGCTCAGTTTTTTCAGGTCTACAAAGTAGGCGCGATGGTGATGCTGCTCCACGACTGGTGCGACCCCTTCTTGGAAATTGCCAAACTGCTCAAATACTTCAAATTCATGGACGTCAGTCTTGTCATGTTCGCCACTTTCGGAGTCGTGTACCACGTGACCCGAATCTTCATGTACCCCTCATTCGTGCTTCGGAGTTCTCTGACAGACACCCTACCTCTGTTGCATCTGGATCCGATCTACACTCCGTACTACTACTTTGCCAATTTCCTTCTAATGGTTATTTTAGTTTTGAATGGAATTTGGGCCGCGTTCATCTTAAAAGGCTTCGCTAAAGTCGTCTTTCAGGGAGGCGAAGCGCACGACGCGAGAAGCGACGACGAGTCCGAATGAGAAGCGAGACAGAAGCTCGGAAAAAACATGAGTTTGAAGTCAACTTACCATGCAAAGTTGTAACGATGCTTTAAAAATGTCTAGAGATATCAATTTGCATATCATTTAGAATACCTCCTAGCTAAGCTTACCAAATGCCAGGTGCGAATTTTGGAATCTGATCTGTTCGTTCGCAGTTTTTGGTGATTGAAAATTTTTTAAATTTTTGTTTTGTTTTAAATTTGTGTGGTATACTCTTTTACTAATAATTACTTTGTTATTTTGTTTAAATTGAATCTCCTAACCTCCAAAAAAGGTTCAGCAAAAACAAATACGCGCCTCAATCAACCAAACGAAACATAAACAATAACTGTAAGCTATCGTCTGATTACAACCAGTCGAAATGATTGAGATCTGAATTTGTAAAAAAAAAGTGGATCATCACTCATTTTGATGTCGGTTACATTTTGACGTGACTTTTTAAGCACTTATTTGGATTCCTTTGAATGTTGGTTAACAACACAACGCTTTATTTTTACTTCCCTTGAAATTAATAGCGTATGCGAGTTGAATTAAATTTCAAATTTGAGTGTATTTTAAAATAAACTCACTATTCAGACAGTTCTATCAAAAACTCTATTTCAAACAAATTTTTGGCCAGTATTTCTGATTTAGGTTTCAAATTGAGAGATGTGTTAGCCACCACCACAAAAATTACGTTTCAGAAAAACTTTGTGTGATTTAATTTTGATCCGTTTTGGGCGAACTCACTGAAAGCCATTTTCTTTTCGGAATAACGAATCTCATTCGGAAAATAATAGGATCGTGCTAACTGTTGAAGATTATGATAATAAAGTGTTGGTTTTATGTAATTTTTCACTTTAGTGATACTTAATTAAAAAGCGTATCAGCCATATATGTTTCTCTAAATTTTTCCATTTGTTTTTGGTTTTCATATGCAAAATGACGAAGATGAATTTGTCTGGCGAACAAAAATCCAAAGACTTTTCTATGTCAACAAGAACGTAGAGTCGGTAATTCTATTTTTGCGTATGGAGTTTTTTTGCGTATGGAGGTCAACCCGGGTATATGACTCCTGTATTTCCTGAGAACAAAACAAAATTTTAATCAAAACGCCCCTTTTCACTTAATATTACAATGCTTCCGTTCATAAAAATTTCTTTATTTCTGGTGAGAAATATTTAAATTCCAGTCTCAGTATCCGACAAAAAGTTATTTTTGGAATGTTTTTAGTAAAGCAGGGGTTTTCTTGAAAATTGTCATTTCTGATCAGAAAATAGCTGAATCTAGGCTAGTTCTAGCTGGAGAAAAAATCTCATGGTGCGGCTGAACCCCGATCTTCCGTTTTCTAGACTCGCGTGCTAACTGCGTGTCCACATCTCCTGATAACTTGAAATAGTTTAAGCAACCTAATGCAAAGTAACGTTTTTTATAACAAGTCTTACTTTACAATTCCTTGCTACGACTGTCGTGTTCACTCAAAACATGTAGAACAAACCCTTAGCTTGTTGCGGTTGAGCAGTGAGCTGATTTTAGGGTATTCTTTCTAGAAATTGTATTTTTAAATGAGCAATAAAAAGTTTCTGTAAGGTTACAAGAGCACTAAAAAATTTCTGTACTGGAAACACAAAGAAATAGGTTAGATTATCTACATAAAGTTTCTATCCAGATTACAAGCTTTTTTTGGGTACGTTACAAGCTTTTGTTGGCTCTTAGTCAGGGTAATCTTCGATTTCGATCCGTCATTCTGTCACTGTATTAATTCTTTATTCACTAATACGCTTATTCGCTGCAATGCCACCAGTCTTCGTTATCCACTCGTTTTTCGATCTTTACATGACTCAGATCGCTATTAATTAACTGCAGCAACATATAATATATTGTAAATAAAAACCAAAAACTTTTGTCTGGCTTCTAACATCGGGTTAGAATCTTCTTCAAGTTTTTTCTTAAACACAGAACTCTGCGGTGTCTTCTGAGTCTTGAGGTTTTCTGTCAACTATCTTTATGGAAAAACTCGGAATTGATCTTTGGTGATTTAATGCAATTAACTGGCCTACCATTGGTAGTATAACAGTTTTTCGAGCCACAACTCTAGTCGACCCGCTTCTACTTACTGTAGTCTTACTTTATTTATTAAGCTTAAGTATTTTTTTCTCTCTCTTTCTCTTTCTTCTTTCCCCTCATTATCTCTCTCCTCTCTCCCTCATCTTTCTCTCTCTCTCTCTCTCTCTTTCTCTCTCTCTCTCTCTCTCTCTCTTTCCTTTCTCTTTTTGTCATCTTTCTCTATATCTAGGCATTTGAAACATAGGGCTCTAGCACAATACGACAGTTGATTGAATTTTCTTGTGGGACCTAAGATTGGGCGAAAAGAAAATCCAATCTACGACTTAGTTTGTTTCCAATTTGCGAAGTATTGGGTACAATAAAAAATTATAGTGTTTTCGAATTCACTAAACTGTGATTTTAATTTTGAAAAATCGTTTTATTTTGGAACTCACATAAGTAAATCTATATTGTTTCAGGTTAATGAACCAAATTTTTCTACATACCTGAATTTTGGATAGATGTTTATAATCGAAAAAGCTTGGCTACTCTGCAAGTAGCACTGCTTAAATAAAAAAACATTGATTTCTGCAAAAAAAATTACGAAATTTTTTCTGTTTTGCTTTGTTCTTTTGTCAGTGTTTTGAGAGTAGAATACATTTTTCGAGCTTAATCGCCAACAGTCTCATGAAGCCCGTTTCTCTTAACTACGAATAAACCTAGCTCCAAAAAATTAGTAATTTAAAAGTATAAAAGTTCCTTTGACCGTCAGTAGATAGACGATCGTTTACAAAAACTTTCAAATCCAGAAATGTTAAATCTCTATATAGGTTCCTATTGATTTTTATAGAAATTTACTCAGTGTTCAAAATTGATTTTTGTAAACTTTTATTCAATTCATACTGTTTATTTATTGTTTTAAAGTGTGTTTTGAGCGTTTTTGGTAGTTTTTGCCTTGCAAAAAGGCTCAAGTTAAATTAAAATTACCTTAAATTGAGAAAATTTTAACTGTTTTAATTCATTTTGGCAATTTATTTCAGAATTTACTGTTTTAAAAAGTCATAAAATTTTAAAATTTACAAACGAAAAGAAAATTTTTTAATGAAATCGAATTTTTGATAAATCAAAATTAACTTGGAACAAACTTCGTGAATTAAAGACTAAAAAGCATTTGGGATTTTCTTGAAAAGTTTACAAACAATGAATACCAATTCTCACATTATTGAAGAAAATAAGCATTTAAGCGATTAAGTATTCAATAAACAACTATAACGTTTTAAAAAAAAGTAGCCAAAAAAGTATCATACAAATTTTTGAGTTTGTTGATCATCATCTTTTTTGTGAGCCAGCAGCATTTTATCATATTAGGCCAGCTAGTTGTCTTTCTTTTTACCAGCATCGTTTCTTTCACCAATTTCAAAGACACCAAACAAGATCTCGAATATAAAACGATCATCTCAAACAAATGTATCCGGTTTCGACATATTTGGTCAGTAAATTGTAAGTTTCTCGCGGTCTAATGCTCATTTTAGTTAGATGTTATTTAACAAAGGTCACTTACTTCGGCACGGTTATTTTCATACCATCAAATCAAATAATCAGAATTAGCTGCAATTCATATCGCACAAAACTTGGCTATGAATTCAATCATACTAGCTATTTTGGCAATTTTTCTTGCCGCCTCAATCGAAGGTCAGAAGGATCTCAAAAAGGAGAAGATTAATTCCAGGCCACCAACCAGTGACGTCACAGCTATGGCCCGTTATGTGGTCCATGAAGTGGACTGGGTCATAATTGGCACGATATCTACTATTCCCCAGATAGAGTCTCAGCCCTTTACTAACATTCTGTCGATGGTGGATGGCCCTGTGGATAACTCTACAGGAGTGCCATACTTCTACACCACGGATATGGACCAGAGCTCACAGGTTTGAAAAAAAGTTTGAATTATTTAGTGAGCACATATAACTAGCAAGCATCAGTCTCAGAGATCGAGCTCACGGGCCCTAAGGCCCCTCAAGGAGACGTCCCATAAGGTAGACTTTTACAGATTAAGTTGAGAAAGAAAGAATAAGTTGAGAAAGTTGAGCTTAGAAAAAATTGGAAAAAACTAAGTAGTCAAAAAGAAAAATCTTTCAACTTGAACTCTTATTTAGTTTAACAAGAATAATCTGTTTCTGTATAGTATAACATAAATTCCAACCAAAATAATATAAAAACAAAAAAAAAACTTTTCTTTTTCAAATTGCGTCGTTTTTTGTCTTTAGTGTGGTGAGAGGATCTGAATGAAGCCCTATAATTGAGGAATATTTTTGTTAGCCATTGTAAAATATGTACTTTTTGATAAACTTTTTACCGATTTTTTCTGAATTTTTTTGAAAATTCTTTTGTTCCAAAGAAGGCGCTAAAAGCGGATCAAAAAAGCAGGGGCGGATCAAGGATTTTCTCTAGGGGTGAATCGATTTTCAGAAAATTTGGATAACGCTTTTTTTTGGTCAAGCAAATTGAGCGTTCGAGATTCCTTATAACACCAATTAGACCCTATTTTACTAAATTTTCTGCAGCTGATTTTTGTGCTAACAAGCCTTTCTTGGAAGGTTTTGACTGAAAAGTTGCGTTTTGTCGACGCGCGCTCCTCCTCAAATCTAGTTAGTTCATGATAGCCTGAAGTCGCCTTCATAAAGAACTCTATGGTCGGTGAGCAGAAAATTGATGTCGCAAAATAACTTCAAAGGGGGACACTTCGGGCAATGAGGGCGTCGAATCCCTGAAGAGGGGGAGGGGGATGCGGCATGGCGTCCGCATACCACCGTCGTAAATTCTATCATGAATAAAAACGTTTTCTCATATTTTAAGCCCACTCGTTCTTTTTTTTTGCTTGAAATTAGACTTAAAATTAAACTAAAAGTTTCTCTAAAAGTTTTTTTAATATGCAGTTGATTATTGCTCCCTTTAAAAGGGTCAAAAACAGGTTGCAAGGTCTTATATTCTTCTAGCAGTTGTTTCAAATGATTTAAACGAAAAATTTTGGTTGCTTGTTTTTCTAGAATCAAATAGTACCTTACTTTTATAGTTTGTGGTACCTGATTTGGAAAATTGAAAAAATTCTTAACAAAGATTGAAACACACCTAAGACAAACTCTTCCTCTTTTTAGTGGTCAGAACAAAAAAAAACAGTTCACTGAAAGTCTTGGATGTATGAGTTGAGCTGACTTTGAAACCGTTAAACTAAATGACAGTAAACTCAGAACAAAATTGACTAAAAGAGCTCCCCGGGTTGACGTCGCAGAGATATTTATTCCTGTTTCAGGCCTTGATCAGTACTAAAACATGATCGGGACTGAAACATAGATAGATTTCGGAATCAGCGCTGAATTACTTCTGAACAGCCCTGAAAATCGCAGCTCTGATTTAGCACTGAATCATTTCCGAAAAGCGGTGAATTATATTTGAATCAGATTTTTGAAACATTTGTTGTCACAGTCCTGAATCATTGATAAATCACTGTGACAATAAATATTTCAAAAGTCTGATTCAGAGATGATTCATCGCTTTTCGGAGATGTTTCAGTAGTGCTAAATCAGAGTTTTGATTTTCAGGACTGTTCAGAATTAATTGAGCGCCGATTCCGATAGCTATCTATGTTTCAGTCCTGATCATCGGATAAGTGCATTATAATCATAGCTGTTTCACACCTGATCAGTGGCTACTTATTCACGGCCAGTATATTTGAAGCACTGGTCCATGATATAGATACGAGCAGATATGACAATCCCCGCGATGTCAGCGTCACTATGGTCTTAGGATAATGTGTATAAAAGTTTTTTTCTCCAAAAGTTGAGATTCAATTTTCCTGCTTAGGACATCAAACAAAACAACAACGTGTCCATCACAATTAGCGAATACGAGACAGACTACTGTCAAAGTCACAAACTCGACCCCGAGAGTCCGGCGTGTACCCGAGTCACACTAGTCGGCCGATTCGTCAAGGTCACAGACGAGGCTGAGAAAGAGTTCGCACTGAATGCACTGTTCTCGCGACATCCCGCGATGGTGAACTGGCCCGCGGACCACGGCTTCTACCCGGCAAAGCTGGAGATTGTCTACATATGGGCAATTGATTTCTTCGGGGGTGCTTCCATAGTAAACATTGATGATTATTTCAATGTTAATTTGTGAGCTCCATATAAGCAATCATGTAGAATGAAATATCAATATTGAAATGAAATTTAACGGAGGTTTCCAATTAAAATTAATTAACTCAAAAAAAACTATTCGATCAAATTCAGAATAGGAAGCTTTTTGAAGTCGAAGCAAATAGATAGTTTTTCTGTAAAACTTTTGGACGTCTTTCTTGTCACTTTTAAACGAAAAAAAAGTTGAAGGTCAAACTCGTTGTGGAGTGTTTTAGTCGCCTGATTATCCGTTAAGAATCCTAAATTCCTCCACGAGTCACTGTGAGATCAAAAATTGACTCAATTAAATAGAATGAAAAACATCTCAAAGTGAAATGTGTTATTTTTACGACCGACCCTACCACCCCTTCTAACGGGAGTGGGGGGGGGGGGGGGGTATAGTGGGAATTATGGCGCGTAGTGCGTGTAATTGTCTTCCGGATTTGACTTCTTCAAAAACGCTCGTAGGTTGTGCTGCCAAATTAAAACGTTCCTGATTGTGGTTACTTTCCAAAAGTGTCGAGAAAAATTGGTCTGAAATTTGTATGGCCCATTGTTCGTCGGATCAAAATTTCAAACATGTCAGCATCGTTACTTTTTCCAATTGTTACTTACCATAATTTTTTCTGGCTCTTTTCCAGTCCCCCCCTTTCAAAAACCCGAGTTTTATGTTTGTTTTACGTATTATTACGGCTAAATGCGTGATGTTACGCTGTAAAGTATGAAGAACAAATCTGTTCACAGTTGTCGATTTCTTCACCACGCCAAAGTTCATTCCATTATGACAACGCTAAATAAGCTTTTCAAATATGAATTTGAAAGGGGGAACTGGAAAAGAGCCTTTTTTTAAAATCCTTTCGTTTGCAAAAAAAACTTTAATTCCTTGTTTTAAAAGCAAAAAACGGATAAAAAAAATCGACAGCATCGGCGCAAAACACCCAACCTCTAGCCATGAATTATCTCACTCAATTCGATCAAAGACAATTCAGCCAATTTGAAATTCAGACAGTTCAGCCAATAGTATACAGATAATTCAGCCTGAGACCATTCAGTCAGTTTCACAAATTGCTAGGTTTGAAAGAAAACTAGGTTGGAATTTGAGTTATTTCTCGACTTAAGGTCCCCAGTGGGCGCGCTATGCGCGCGTCGCCGCTTTGCGGCGATAACTAGCTCTAAATTTCGTATAGGTTTCTAAACTTTGTTGGCAAGCTCGCAACACGTTGACGCGACAGCGGCGGTCACTGTGATTGGCTGTTGTCTGCATACTTTTGGCTGAATTGTCTAAATGTCAAGTCGGCTGAATTATCTTTGGCCGAATTGTCTGGACGCGGGTGTAAGATGCTGTAAATCCTATTTTAATTCCAAATAATTTTTCAGTCAGCTAGCTAAATACGAAAATTAATTGTTTAAAGTAGAACTAGAGCTCATCTAATCACGATATGCCCATTAAACTATGCTTATTTTGGCAGCTCTCACCTTGCAAATTGTAGCACAGGTGTGATATGAACGGCAATGATGTGATTTCTGGACACCATCCATACCGGAAACATCACAATGCCACATTTCAGAACATTGCTGGAATTTAAAAATAACATTGGCCAAAATTTAGCCGAAATCTAAGTTCCGAAAGATAACTTCTATACGCAAAAAGTTGTATTTGTTTCAATATCAGAAGTTGTTCAATAGAAAAACTTCAGCAAACGAACTTCCGATGTGTAAGGTGAGAAAGAGGCCGCTTAGGCCTTATCAAGAGACGTCCTAAATAAGCAGCACAATCTCAAACCCTCTAGATACTGAGAGGTTTCTATTAAGTAGGTACGTACCATTTGTTGTACGAAACAGCCCGGGTCGAGGACTCAGACTCCTGTCCAGACTTTAAGGGTCGCGCCACATCCGGATTTAGACCCAAATTGCATAGTCACGCCGAGAGTTTGAGTCTGGAAAGTCTGGACATGAGTCGCGCCGTGGGCCGCGAAAGTCTGGACATACCAAAATTTGGTCGCGAAAGACTGGACATGGGTCGCGAAAGTCTGGACATACCAAAATTTGGTCGCCAAAGTCTAGATATGGGTCGCCAAAGTCTGTGTCCAGACTTTTGCGACCCATGTCTAGGCTTTCGCGACCAAATTTTGGTATGTCCAGGCTTTTGCGACCCATGTCGAGACTTTCGCGACCAGATTTTAGTATGTCCAGACTTTCACGACCCATGTCCAGACTTTCACGATCAAGTTTTGGTATGTATAGACTTTCTCGGCCCACTGCGCGACTCATGTCCAGATTTTCCAGACCTTATGTCCAGACTTTCCAGACTCAAACACTCGGCGCGACTATGCAATTTGAGTCTAAATCCGGATGCGGCGCGACCCTTGGCGCGACTCATGTCCAGATTTTCCAGACCTTTTGTCCAGACTTTCCAGACTCAAACTCTCGGCGCGACTATGCAATTTGGGTCTAAATCCGGATGCGGCGCGACCCTTGGCGCGACTCATGTCCAGATTTTCCAGACCTTATGTCCAGACTTTCCAGACTCAAACTCTCGGCGCGACTATGCAATTTGAGTCTAAATCCGGATGCGGCGCGACCCTTGGCGCGACTCATGTCCAGATTTTCCAGACCTTATGTCCAGACTTTCCAGACTCAAACACTCGGCGCGACTATGCAATTTGAGTCTAAATCCAGATGCGGCGCGACCCTTGGCGCGACTCATGTCCGGACTTTCCAGACCTTATGTCCAGACTTTCCAGACTCAAACACTAGGCGCGACTATGCAATTTGAGTCTAAACCCGGATGCGGCGCGACCCTTGGCGCGACTCATGTCCAGACTTTCCAGACCTTATGTCCAGACTTTCCAGACTCAAACTCTCGGCGCGACTATGCAATTTGGGTCGATACTCCGTGTAAAAAAGAAAAGACTTATCTACCTGACAAGATCAGAAATTATCAGCACACTGCAAAATTTCAAAAAGTCTCACCTTCCAGTTATAGAACTCAGGCTAACTTGATATTTTGACAAGAGTTTTTATTTCAAATTGATGATCTCTAAAAACATTTTTTTAAAAAAAACTACAAACTGTGGAAATCTCGAGAATGACCTCCATACAACAAAAACGCTAGTCAAACTATTCGATTAGCTTTCTATCACTTTTTTGGACCTGTAGGAAAACCGTCTATTATGTGATATTGAATGTTGAGAAAATGGTACTTCGTCATACGCAAAGACGTTCTTTTTTTTGAATCGTTTTTGTTTAGAAGACTAACTGTCCTGGATTTCTCGACACAAGTTTTCATAGTCTTACGAAGCTTACTGTAAATAAGTCGATGATGCGGCTCGTTGCACCCTGGACTTCAAAAAAAACAATTGGAAAATATATTCATCCTCAACAAAGTCCATATATTTGCCAGTTGCAAGATAATGTCTTTCTTTTGGCACAATTCCGCAGTGCCTTGTATACAGACACAAAATTTGTCTGTATTATGATATGTTTTCTATCATGAGTGACTTCTTGTGGAGTCATTGTGACTGAGATAAAGAAGATTTCATATTGGAAGTGATAACTTCCCTTCTAACGTATTCCAATTAAACCCCCAGAGAGCATTTGTGCGGCGCTTCAAAGCATTGTGAAAAATTTCGCCAGTCTTGGACGATCTGTTTTATTTTTGAAACCCTGGTTTGTCAGTTTATTTCACGTTTTTGCACGGGATGACAAGGAACCGTTGCTAGATGAACGTGCCTGGATAAAAAAAATTTAAACATCACTAGGCTGAGGTTTTGGGAAATTTTTATTAGGAGCTTTTTTAGGAAACAAGTTAAATGGTTGCTTGTTTTACCTGTCGAAGTTCTAACACTGTGTAAAATAAGTAGAAGAGCGGTAAAAGCACACTTTTATATTTATTTTAAATTGTTTTCTTGCGATTTGTTCGTACCGTTTTTTAGCAAAGATTTTCGTGATGATTGATTGTTATAACGCTTCAAAAAAGATTTGCGCGAAAAAATAGGTTGGGCTGATTTGTAAGAGTGCTAACATTTGTCTGAAGTTTGTATGAAACATCTTTGCCAAGCCGACTTATTTCTTTAATTTACAATAAGAGTTGTTTAAATTCTTTTAACAAACTGTCTTTGTGTAAAGTCTGCTTTCCTTACAAACCGCGAGACCGGCATGCCAAAAAACGAACGTCACAACAGTTAGATCGCATCTCATCTGTCCTGTGGAGGTTTTTTAATAAATAAAACCGATAAAAATATGAGCAAAGCGAGTTTTGCTTGATAAAGGCAATCAAAATGGAGTGTCCAGAGAAAATCGTTGAACTTTTAGGCAGTAAAGGCCACATTTTTCTTATTCAATAACGTCTCTCCGCCCTGAAAATTATAATAAACCAAAATGCCTATTGAGTTGGGATGGTTCTCTAACTCATAGAGTAATTTCAGATAGGGTACACCATAGAGTTGGTCTCTTGGAAAAGGCAACTAAGTTGTAAGTTAAATTCAGAATGCTCTGGTGCTGAAATTACAAGTAAGTTCAGCACTTACAAGTAAGTGGGTTGTTAGTTAGATGGAGTGTGATTGGTTAGTCTTAAATTTTTATAGGGATAAAATATCTAATTTATAATCAATAACAATATATAGTTTGGATCAGGTTCCACCCATCCGGGGTTTACAGAGTTTTTGTTCTTTTGACTTCCTTCTGTAATGGAGGATGGATGATTGATCATTCGTATTTCGCGAGCATCAATTCTATTCCATTCTTGGAGGAGGAAGCTTCAGGAAACTGGAATCGTAGATCTAATTTTGTCATTCAACGATGACTGAGACCGTCAACAAAATCAATCTGATCTCAAGATGGTTTGTTATGATCGTCTGTTCTTGATCGGTGTGGAGAACTATGTTTCGATCTGAATTGGGAATGGCGTGAAGCTCGAGTTTGGAGGGAATGGCCTGTAACTCGGATCTGTACGTATACTTGAACTTCGATGTGGTCATTGGTCTGTTTCAATGAAGTCCCTTGCTTCGGAGTCAAGTCGTACTTCAAATCCTTTGAGTTGTGGTTGTGAGCAGCATATCGGTTGTGTTCAGCCAT